TTTATTCAATTTATTCAATTTATTCAATTTATTCAATTTATTCAATTTATTCAATCTATTCAATCTATTCAATCTGTCCAATCTATCCAATCTATCCAATCTATCCAACCCTCGTACCCAGAACCAGAAGACATCGACAAATACCAATTCACTAGCTTTCAAATTAAAACCCCAAAATCAGAACTCCCGTATGTATATCTCTATACCGCCTTTATGACTAATTCACTTATACGAAGGACCATAATACCTTGTCTCGTCGCCAGACTCCTCAACTATGATAATACCCACCATCGCATATCTCATATCTCATATCTCATATCTCATAAACCCACCAGCTTATCGACTCAACAGTCTACCAGAACATCATCAAATCCTCATTAAAAGAAATTAAGCGTCACATCATAACATCAAATCATATCACCATAAATCATCATCACAATCATCACAAAAACTCACGGTTACGAACTCAAAAAAAAAAAAAAAAATTTCGAAAGAGAAACCAAAACATGAAGTAATGATCAATCCCAAAAGATATGAAATGGAAGGTAGTAAAAAAAAGTCTATAAGTTCTTTTATACTAAACAACATTGATAATAACATAATAAAAAGCACAATAGTCTAACGTAATTCTATATCATAACGAAAAGGCGTGAAAAGGAAAAACCACTCAGTGTCACAAATCACCCTCCATTCCTCCCCCCTCTCAAAGGTCGAAAAGGTGGGTAAAGGATTCGTAGACAAAGACCCCGCATCCGTCCAAACTAGCCCTGATATCTCTATTCATTTCCCCCACCTTCTCCATCGGATAGGTTGTCGAAATTGGGAATGAAAAAAAGGTAGAAGAATAATGCGTCGAAGAATAAAAGGGCAGAGAGGTTGGCGGCGTGCAAACCCCGACAGAACTGCGCAGCTCGCGTTCAGAACATCAGGCAGAAGTACACCAGGAGGCTCGTGGTAGTGTTTGTAAATATAACAATGATAAAAAAATAAGAATTACGTCAGAACAAGAAAAAGGGTATGTAACGGAAGATGATGCATCATAGTCGGGGGGTCCGGTTGATTAGGGAGTGTGTAGGTAAAAGGTGAATGTCGGGCCCCGAGGAATACGGCGAATCGTCTAATCGTCCTCATCAGAGAAGACCTCCTCACCACTAAAGACAAAATATATTAGGATCATAGCTTCAAAATATAAGTATGTATGATGAATTGCAACTTACCGCTTGCGCCTGGCCATACGGTCCTTCTTCTTCTTTCGGAGTTCGCTGGAGGTGAGCTTCTTCTTCTTGGTAACCTCGATCTTGTTACCAAGGGCATCGAACTGATCACCGGCCTCCTTCTCCTCAATACGAGGACCGCTACCTTGACCTTGGACCCAGTTGTGGCCGGATGGGGTCATCTTACCGTCAATGACGGACCAGACTTCCTCAGTGAGACCACGGGTGAACTCCTCAGCGTGGGTAATGATGACGACACCACCATCGAAGGCCTTGAGAGCCTTGGACAAAGCACCGAGAGAGTCACGGTCGAGATAGTTGGTGGGTTCGTCAAGAACGATCAAGTGAGGTCGTTGCCAGGTGGCGGCGGCCAAGCAGACCTTGACACGCTGACCACCAGAGAGACCCTTCATGCGGGAGTGGGAAACCAACTCAGCATCGAGACCGAAGTAACCGCAGTGAATTTCGATTTCCTTTCGGATCAATGGGCGGAAAGCACCGGACTCGAGAGCGATCTTCTGATCGATATCGGCGACCATCTTGGTGTGGGAGGCGATGAGCTCGGAACGTTGGATCCAGCCGTTATCGGAGGTAGACATAGGAATCCACTTCTCACCCTTCATACCGACGTTCTCACCGAGAAGGAAAGAGCACTCGTACTCATAAGAGTTCTTGAACTTGCGACGACCGGAGATGGAGACGACACGACGTTGGGAACCCTCAAACTTGAAGATCTTGTTCATGGCAAGCTCATCGTCATCGGTGATCTGCTTGTTGGCACGATCCATGGTCTCACGATCCTCACCAGTCTGGAAACGCCACTGGATGTACTCGGATGGAGTCTTGTCCAAGTGGTTGTCGATGTGGGCGAAAGCGTGCTGTTTGATGTAGGCGATACGGATGTTCTCGTGGACGTAGATGTTACCCTTGGTTGGGATCAATTCACCAGTCAAGACGTTGATAAGAGTAGACTTTCCGGCACCGTTGGGTCCAATGACGGCGATACGGGATCCAAGGGAGACCTGGAAGGAGATATCGTTCAACTGTGGCTTGGGGGTACCTGGGTATTGGAACTCCATCTTGTCTACCTTGACGATAGCCTTGGCCTTGGTCTTGACACCTTCGAGGAAACCTGGTTCTGGGAACTTGAACTCGAGCTCGGAGGCTCCGAGTTCGTAGTAGGACTTGGCAGATGGGACACGGGCGACGAAGGCCTTAAGGTTACCTCTGTAACGCTTAAGCTTGAATCGCTCGTAGTGGATGATGTGCTGGCAAACATTGTCGAGGAAACCAGAGTCGTGGGAGACAATGATGGAGGTACACTTGGAGTTGCAGAGGTAGTCCTCGAGCCACCTGACGTTGACACGATCCAAATGGTTGGTAGGCTCGTCGAGGAGGAGAATATCGGGGTCCTCGAAGACGGCACGGCAAAGAGCCAACTTCATCTTCCAACCACCAGAGAGGGAGGTGATTGGGTTCTCGAACCAAGTCTGTTGGAAGCCGAATTCAACCATGGTTTTCTCAACTTCATCACGGGACTTTTCGACACCAGCCTCAGCCAACTTCTTCATGGTCCAGCCAATGACAGTCTCCTCAGTATCAGCGGCATCGAGATCGTGCTCGACGAAGACAGTCTTGACCTCGGACTTGGGTGGGAAACCCTCAACCTGTTCACGGTTGATGGCACGCATGAGGGTGGACTTTCCGGAACCGTTGGGACCGCAGAGACCATAACGTTGACCACGCTTGAGACGGAGATGGGTCTGGTTGAGGAGGATCTTGGCACCATAGGCAAGGTTGAAGGTACAGTTGCAGAGATCTTCACCTTCCTCATCATCGGCCTCACCTTCCTCAGCCTCGGCGATACCAGGAGCGGAACGCTTGCGGAAGGTGTCAACGATGGACTTGGCGTCATCCTCACCGACGAGGGCAGCGAGAGCTGGGACGACATGCTCGAACCAGATCAACTGCTCGTTGGAGTTCTCATCGTAGAGGGTACCGGCGATGCAGGCGAGGTAGCTGAGAACTGGCTGGTACTTGCTGAGAACTTCGTTGTGGTTGCTGGCGGAGACGATGGACTTGAGGGTCTCGAGCAAGACAGCTGGCTCGGAAGCGTTGGAGACCTCTGGGATCTTACCATCCGGACCGACATCACCAACACGCTTGAGAGTATCGAGACCACGTTCGGTAACGGAGCGAGCTTCGGGGTCGGCAATGGTATCGAAGTTCTTCTGGAGACCGGGCATGAGCTTGGGCAAGAAAGGAGCAACGATCTGAGGATCCTCGACGAGCTTGCACATGTTGTCGACGATGACGGCGGATTTACGCTTGATGGCAGTCTCACGCTCAGCGAGACCACGCTCGAGAAGAGGAACCATGATGGACAAAGTTGGAGCAAGGACATCCTGAACGAAAGTGGTGGCACCGAGCAAGTGAATGGTCTCGGGGACGTTCTCCGGAGCAGCGATACAGTTGATAAGCTCAGGAATGAAACGGTCGATATCCTTGTTGCAGATCAAAGTACAGATGTTCTCGATTGTCTTCCTGGCAGCCTTCTTGACCTCTGGCTTGGTTTCCCACATAGCCTCAGAGATGACAGGAATGCTGTCCGGGGTCCTCAAAGCGAGCTGAGTAGGAGCAATGCGAGTGAGGGTGTCAATGCACTCGAGAGCAGTGATCTTCTCCGGCCACTTTCCGGCATTCTGGATGGAGTTGAAGATGATTGGGAGAAGGGCCTTGATGGCATTGGGGTTGACGTTCTCAACGATAGTGAGAGCGGTTTCGTGAGCAAGTTTCTTGACGGAGGTCATCTTGTCACCGACGGCAACAAGGACAGGTCCGAGAAGCTCGATCACGTAAGGCTCGATGGCCGGAGCCAAAGTGTGACCAGCAATGGCCTTGATGGCCGAGAGGGCACGCTCACGGACTGTGGCATCCTTCTTGTTGTTGAGCTTCTTCTTGAGGTCATCGACGAATTTCGATGGAACTTCGTGCTCTTCGATAGGACCGTTGACGAAGGTAGCAAGGTTCTTGGCAGCGTACTCGGTCTCGTCTCCCTTGGAAACGGAGAGTTTCTGGAGGAGGTCCTCGAGGACCTTGACCGACTTGGCGTTTTCGGAGGCGGAAGATGAAGCCATAGTATCAACAGCTGGGGCCATTATCTAATTGGCGATGTAGTGGGGTGTTGATGTTGGTGATGAGAGAGAGAGGGGTGGTAAGTGGGTGGTGGTGGGAAGAAAGAAAGAGAAGAAAAAAATTCTATCTGATAAGAAGCCTGTCTAAGAGATAAAACCCACAGAACAAACCACACTAAAAAAAATTCACACCTTCGTGAGAGGAATGTGAATTTCTAAAAATCTAAAAAAAGAAGATTTTTTTTATGGGAAAGCTCCGAAAGAAAGAGAGAAACTTTCAGAGACAAGGAGAAATAAGATGGCGAGGTTAGAAGTGTACTGATACTGGTTACCGAGCCTGAGAGAGGGTGCTCGATACGTATCCTGGCGTATACTAGGAACCTGACAAAATACTTCTTGAGAAGAGTACTGTCTATATGGAATCAAGAACGACGACGAGATAACGACGACGAACAAGAAATCTAAGGGGTATAATTGGTGATAAGAAAGAGAAAGAAAAAGGTTAACAGAGAGATAGGTGAAAGGAGGAGAAGAAGAAGAAGGAAAAAGAGGAAAGAAGAGGTGGAGGAGGGCGAGCAAGAAATATATAGTCAAGTACTTGCTATGTCTACATTTAGCTACTTTCTACACCGATCTACTTTCAGCATGAAGGCCACGCCGGACCTTTTTTTTTTTTTTTTTGAGACAAAGACGAAGACGAAGACAATCCGGTGGGCAAAAAAAAAAAAAAATTGATAGCTAAGGTAAGTACTATTTCGCTAGCTCGAAGCTTCTTCTTCGTCTCTTTTTTTTTTTTCCATCCGCTCGGTTTGTGTAGGTGGGATGGCGGTCTCGACGCACAAGTTTTTTTTGCTTCTTCGGATACATACATACTTCATACTTCATACTTCATATGTACTTGATATATGTATTATCCCTTGCGACAAACTGAATAATGCCCATGAAAGGATTGGGGACTTTTTAACAATTATGCCCTGCACTTTAAGCCCAATAGTATCGTCGATTATAAGGCTTTATGCATCGGACGAGCATGGGTCTGTCAGCCAAAGAAAAATAGAAACCCCCCAAAAAAGGGCTCCGGACAGGGGAGAGCTACTTCGAACTAACTATCGCAATCCCTGTCACTTTCGCGCACTGAAAAAAAAAATTTAGAACTTTTTTTTTTTGGTTGAGAAGGAGAAAAGAAAGCCACCGATTGCGATAGAATTGGAAACAAAAACATTGGGATCTACGTAGACTATTCAAGATCAATTAATTGTTTTGTCCTGAAATGAACTGAATTGTGATTGTTCAAGCTTTGGAAATATGTATTGATCAACCGTTAGCTGTTTGACCCTAAATTGTTAATTGTCAATTATGGCCACCACGGGAGAGTCCGCGAATGCACGAGCTATCACCGCAGCTGCACCATTCTTGACAGATTGCCACATTATTCCTTTTCTCTCTCGGGATATGTAAAAAAAAGGATCTTATCTTGTCCATCTGGCGGCCGTCAGGATCCGAGCAAAATATCTGCAGACCCATAGATCTTTTGGCCGCCGCGAAGATTCTGCTTTTCAACATTTGTGAGGCGATCTCGCAGGACGGAGAGGGAAAAAATTTTTGTGAATTTTGATTTTATCCCCCCCGGAACTTATTCCATAGATCCGCTTTCATCGAGCGCGGGGCGTCATGGCTGGGATAAAAAAGGGCTGTTGTCCTACATGTATGTAGGTATGTGCAAGTAAGCTTATTTGTTCAACTGGCCGCCAAGGTGTAGTTGGATGTTTGAAGTTCGATAGCATTTGCCGCTGAGAAGTTTCTTCTTCTTCCAACAATTGCCCCTCAAACAGATAAGTATACTATTAACTATTCATATTGCTTCATCATGAGATTTCACTTCAACTTCCTTTTATCTACCCAAACAGGTCCTTCTAAATCCAGTATATTATGCGATATCTCTTCTTCCTCTTCTTCTTTTTTCTCTCTCTTGGGTGCTAGTTGAAACTTGAGGCACATAAATGTAAAATACACCCCGGTCGGTGAGCGCGCTCCGAAGTCGAGTTCGAGTGGGATGGCTGCCACACCAGTCCATAGCTTAATTCAGCCATCCCACGCTCTTTTTTTTTTTTTTTGGGACACTGTTCCGTCTATGTAGACCCTTCTTCCTTCACATGTCTTCGGAAAATCATTTTTCTGGGTCTTCTTTTATTTTTTATTTTTTTTTATTTTTATTTTTTTTGGGGGGGTTCGCTGACTCGCTAGTACTTCCGTTCGACAAATCAGATTTCAAGAATTCGCAGCATGTTCTTCTTCCTCCTCCCAACTTTTTTTATTTTTTATTTTTATCCCTCAACCGTGCCATTGAATTATTCCTTCATCAGTAATGGATACTTTAAGTATGTAAGTATCTGTATGAATTAACAACGAAGTGTACGTAGTAAAAGAAAAGTAACATCCAAGCCTCCATCTCGGATGCACCGTTCTCAAAACGGAATTCTACCACAACCAATCCCCCCTCCAAATAAAAAAAAGTCTACATGTAGCTAGGGTATTGGTCCTGTATCTAGAGCTCCAGCTTGGATGATAGATCCGAGCTCGAGGGGGGGTATCTCTTGCATTGCATGATCTTGAGATGTACTATGTAAGGAAAAAGGGGGTTGCAGGTATGAAGTATTCTAGTAAAAGACGTGGCAGCCGTCGGTAAGCTTGCTAGCATGCTTTGACAGTTAGACGTATGTTCGTACATACATACATACATACATACATACATACTCACATATTAACAACTAAGTACCTAAGTAAAGGGTTTGAAACAAATCGGAGTTCTACATTCGTTCTTCCTCGCTTTCTAGCGGCTGTGGATTTCTTTCTAGTAGCTGTCTTACTTTTTTTTTCTCTTGTCGCGGTTGGATGGATGGATGTATACGAAGATCCCGAGATACATACAAAGGCAACGTCACACTCCAATATTCTTAGAAGGTTATCATACCCGATATCCCTCCACAAAACATGGGGCATCCGGGGATTCTCTCTTTCTAGGATGAAATATACCCCAAACTTCCATAGTTACCCCGTGGAGAAAAATAATCACTTAGACATTCAATCCCCAAATGTTCATATGAAACTTTTTTGTCCCATCCGAAAAAAAAAAATTTGTTCGCTTGTTCTTCCAGATATCTTGGCATCACATGGTCTTGGCAATAAATCAAAGCTTGGCTTTTTTCAGCCTCGTCGAATCGGATTACATCATTTGAATAAAAGAAGTGTTCGTTTCGGAAAATATCAATATTTGGAAAAAAAAAAAAAAAAAAAAAAAAAAAAGGATAAATTCGATTTCCGACTGGTTGAACCTGGTTCGTGTCAGGGTTCCACTATCCGACGACCGTGGATTTGGATGAACAAACGGTGCCGCATTCTTTATTTTTTATTAATAGTAGTCAAAATGAATGTAAATGCTGCGACTTAGGTCGAGGTTGTAATATGCAACAAAATCAGCACAGTTGAAACTTTCTTCGATGGATACCTACCTAAATATGTGAATATAGTATATAAGTACTTAATTATACACTGCTATTAGAGAGCATATTACTTTGTAGAGTTTGATGGTTTTAAAACAAGTCAGACTTTGCTCTTTGTATACCTCATATGCCATGCATGCTCCCGATATATATATTTCACCTTTCATGAGATCGGTGTTTAGGAGACTAATATATTCTTTTGACTTCGACTTTGCCTTCCCATATTTTATCACGACCCATTAGCTATCGAGAATTATAGGAACAATTAATTTACCTATATTGTATTGTATCCCTCCCATCCAACCGAGAAGAAGAACCAACAGGCGATCTCATATATAAACTTATAGTTCCAAACCCCAACAAAGACCCTCTACAAAAGTCTATTCCATAAACATCCTTTGTAATCTCAAAAACTCAAACCCTCCAAAGAAGTAAAGAAATACAAGACGTCATTTTGTACCCTCCCTCCAGTAGTAATATTAATGACTTCGATAATGCTGTCTGAGTCGACTGCCGTTCGCGGTGATCTGATTTTATATAAATACTGATATATATACGATCATAATTACGAATGATAATAAAGGGAGAGCACGCCATATATATACCCTCGTCTTCTTTAAAATATCCATTCGTACAGACTCACCTTCTTCAAACCATACTTTCGTAACTTTATCACTTAGCTTCTACAGCTGCATGTCATTAATGCACGATCAAGACTCTTCGTTATCATAATCCACTCATTCACTACATTCAACGATAACCAGAATACTAAATTCAAGAATAACACCCCTATAATCACGACCTCACCAATACTAACAATACAAAACCCAGTACCTACAGTAGATCGATACAAATACACCAACAATGTCCTCCCAACTCCACCCCCACATCTCACACACCCCCATCCGCGTCATCAAGAACGAAAAATACATCCACAACGGCACCAAATCCTACGTTCACCTCATGAGAAAATGGCGATTCAACCCGACCATAGAACCTCAAGAGAGTAAATATTTCCAGGGGAAGCAATTAGCCCAACAAGGTAAATTTGCGCCGAACGTCGGGGGTAGAGCCACGACTATTACGAGACTTAAGAAGAAGGTCGGATCGGGAACTGATGAAGGTAGTGGGGGTGTGGGACTTGTTGAGGCGGAGGATGTGCAGAATGATGCGCTTTATTTGGCGGAGGTTTTGGTGGGGACGCCGCCGCAGGGGTTTTTGTTGGATTTTGATACTGGGAGTGCGGATCTTTGGGTATTTATTTATTTTTCCTTTCTTTTCTCTCTATTTCTTTTGGTTGGTTTTGTTAGGGGGGTTATGTTGATGGTTTTGGAACAGGTCTGGTCGAAAAATCTGCCGAAGAAGACTCTTCAGAATAACCCCTCAAAGGCGGTATACGACCCTACCCAATCCTCAAGCTTTACAAACAAGAATGGTGCAACCTGGGATATCAGTTATGGCGACGGATCGAGCGCTAGTGGCACCGTCGGAACGGATATTCTAACACTCGGCGGCCTCACCATCGAAGCTCAAGCCATCGAACTCGCAAATCATCTATCCCAGAGTTTCATCGAAGGCGAAGGATCCGGTCTCCTCGGACTCGCATTCAGCAATATCAATACTTGCCGTCCGGAACCCGTCCTTACCCCCGTTGATATGCTGATCCAACAGGCCAATATCCCTAAAGATGCAGAACTATTTACTTGTAAACTTGGCAGCTGGCGTGATGCAACCGATGAACCTGACCACGGGGAGAGTTTTTATACTTTCGGGTTCATCCACCAGCCCACTCTCGACTATTGTGGTGTACCAGCTGCGAATATTTATTACACCAAAATCAACTCCTCAGCCGGGTTTTGGCAATTCTCGTCTACTTCTGTTACTGTGAACGGGAAGGTAACCAAAAGGGCCAAAAGCAACGTTTCGATCGCAGATACGGGGACCACGTTGGCATTGTTGGATGATGCTTCTTGTTATGCTATATACAAACAGATACCCGGGGCTAAATATTCGTCTAGCTATCAGGGGTTCATTTTCCCGGCTTCGGTGACGGAAGCTCAGTTACCTGTTGTGTCGATTGATGTGGGAGGGAGGAGTTTTGTGGTTCAAAAGGAGGATTTGGGGTTTGCGGATGCGGGGAATGGGTATATCTATGGAGGGATACAGAGTCGAGGGGATATGCCGTTGGATATTCTTGGGGATACGTTTTTGAAGGCTCATTATGTGGTATGTATTAATCATATATATTCCCTATCCGGGTAAGATTGTTTTTCATACTGATGGTGAATTTATATAGATCTTTGATGTTGGGAATAAACGTCTGGGGGTTGTTCCGCGTCCGGAACAGAAACAGAATCTGTCGGCACCACCGGCTGGGGATGGACAGGCTGAGGAAGGGAATTCGAAGAAGAATTTCTTTGCGAGGTTGCTTGGGAGGAATAAAAAGGTGGAGAAACAGGCTGAGCTTTAGGTTGGCCGAAGTCGAACTCTACAGCGGAAAGCGACGGAGAAGGCGTTAAGCCAGATCGGGGCTACTTGAATTGGTATGGCTGTGGTTCTCTATAAGATTAATTGGGTGTTTTTTTGTATGCTTGATGGGGGTTTAGATTGGTTTCTTGTGAGTTTTCTTTTGTGGTTATTGTTTTGATGAAGTTTTTGGAGCTTTTTGGGCTCTAGATATCGATAGTTGGTTAGTGGTTGATTCTAGAATGATTAATTGAATGGCTTGTGCAAGAAGGTTCTTGATTGTTTGGGAATCGTGGAGGTTTTTGGTGTAGTGGGTTGGTCCTTATATCGTATCTACTGTTTGAGACTGCAGTCACCATTACTACAACCATATCCACATCCTCCTCTATAAAAAAGAACAATAAGATATTATCACTCATGAAGTCGTGAATAAAATATACACCCACATATACCAAAAAAAAGGAAAGAAAAATGTCATCAGACTCCTCCTCCTCTCACTCGTCGAATTCAATATCTACCACTACTACCACTACTACTCAGAGTCCAAAAAGTCGGGAACGTTTGACTCATTCGGGTGGTATGGCTGATACTTCTACTATTGCTGCTAGTAATAATAATACTACTGGTATTGCGAAAGCCAAAAAGGAAAGACATACGAAACTGTTAAAAACGATAGATACGGCGTCGATTGAACATCTTCGAATGGTGTTGAAGATGGTGTGTAACGGGAGTGAGGTTATTGAGTATGCGCTTGATGTGTTTATGCAGCTTCTTGGGGATGATGATAAACATGAAAATGATAATAAAGAAGAAGGAGGGGGGGAAGTAAAAACGTGTGGGAGGTGTGGAAAGGTGTTTACTACTACTACTACTCCTAATACTGGAAAATTGGGACAAGAAGAGGAAGAGGGAGAAGGAGGGTGTAGATATCACGATGGGAATAGATACGTAGATATCGAAAGTGAAGTGTGGACGAAGGTGGAAGGGGTCTGTTGGCGGGATGGGATGGATATGGTGGTGAATTGTGGGGTGGATTGGGAGGAGGATCCTGTGTTACTTGAGGAGTTTGCGGAGGGGTTTAGGTGGGATTGTTGTGATGAGGATGGAGGGGTGGAGGGGTGTGTGGTTGGGGGGCATGTTGCTGAGTAACTAGTAGATTTTATTATGATTGCCTGTTTGGGAAGTTTATATGGGATGGGATATTGGATTGGATTGGATTAGATTACATGGTTGGGTAGATTGGTTAATACAGGTTTAATATTCTTCGTCTTCGTCTTCGTCTTCTTCGTCTTCCTCGCCGTATGGATCTTCGTGTTCAGGTTCTCTAACTCTCTTCCTCCTAACATTACTCCCCTCAACCACCCCCACAGAAGAAGAAGTAGTAGTATCCAACCTCCCACCCCCCTCTCTTAGATTACTACTACCGTTATTATTACTACTATTATTAAAATTACTACCACCAAACCTAGAAACATGTCTAAAAACCTCACACCCAGGCGTATCCCCCCTATCACCACAACACTGCATGATAAAAGCATCAGGACGATCATTAAAAAAGTCCTCATGATTCTCATCCCTGCCGCCGAAATCTCCGTCATACATATCCCCCCACATGTCGTGGTCCGGATCTGCTTCCCAGGGACCGGGGTGGGTTCGACATGCTGTAAGGTGATTGTCTGCTTCGTCGTAGGATTGGAGACAGGTTATGCAGACTGAGATGGTGGTTTCTGCTTTTCGTTTGCGGGTGGAGTTTGCTGCATTGACGTTTGTGCTGTTTCTTGGTGGTGGTGGTAGTGGTGGTGCTGTTTCTGCTGTTGTGGAGTTTGAGGTTGTAGTTGATGCAGATGCAGATGCATTGTTTGCTTGCTGCTGCCCGCGCCGTACGGCTGCAGTAGTTACAGCAGCAGCAGCAGCAGCAGATACAGCGTCAGCCTCGGCCCGCAGGTGCAGCTGCTGCTGCCGTTGTTTCTGTTCCCGTAACTGAGTACTCTGGAAATGAAACTTCTGAAGCCTTTCTTTGTTTTTATTATCGGATTTGATCAACGCGGTTAGAAAGTTTTGAAGTTCATGTTTGCTTGCCGATTGGATTATTTCGTGGACATCTAAACTTTGATGTCCTGCTGTTGGTGTGGTATTATTATGATTATGATTATTGTTATTATTGATAGGTGTTAGTAGTGGTGGTGGAGGGGTGTATACACCTCCCGCACCTGAGAAATTCCCGAGTGTGGCGGCGGTGGTCATGGTTGTTAGGAAGGTGGGATTTGGGAGTACTCTTTCTCTTGGAGGAGGAAGAGTATTGGTGAAGCCATTCGCATTTGGAAGTGGAAGTGGAAGTGGGAGGAATGGCGTGGATGATGCGTTGGAGGTCATCTTCAGATCTAGACGCGTTTTCTCTGATTTACAACCACCACCGGGAATCGATGGAATCGATCGATCTTTACAATAAGAATCTATTACCCCAGTTGGCCAAAGAAAAAAGAAAGAAGGAGATATATTGGGAATATTTGATTGCTAATGGCGTGTTTTTGAAACGTTTGCCTGTTTTTTTTTGTGGGTGTGTTTTATCTGCAAGGACGACGCCTCGGAGGGGAGGAAGTTGTGATATGATTGATATGATTGATATGAGGGTGCAGTTGCAGTGCAGTGCAGTTGCAGTGCGTTGGGCAAACAACTGCTTAGTACTTAGGTAATTATCTTGGAAGGAGACCATATTACAGGACAGCCTTGTTTTTTATTTTATTTTGTAGATTGTCTATTCGGTCGCTGGTAGTTTTGATATGCAAATAGTTTTGTAAAATTTAAAACGGGAAGATATATAAGTACTTAAGTATATAAGTTCTGGTTCTATTGAAGCATCTTTATTCAGTCGGTTCTCTCATAACAATTACAAGATATCCGTTATACAAGTATCTTATACATCGTCACCCCACCATCAATCCAATCATATACCCTGCTCTACCTATTTAAATAAATATATAAAAATAAAATAAAATAAAATAAAATAAAAAATGCCCCCCTCAACCCCCCCAACAATAATCTCCCCAAAACCAAAACCTGCATCCACCAAAACACCACCACCACCCCTCCTCCTCCTTCAAAACAACCTCCAAAAGATCCTCCCCAGAGACCCCATCGAAGAAATCCTACGCAAAAGTTCCGACTCCCACATCCGTTCCCTCCTACGATCCCTCTGTTCTTCTTCCCAAGAAATCAAAGAAAAAGCCCAACAACTGCACAAACAAATCCTCGAATTACCTGTTGTACGCCCACCGGGTATTAACTTGTCCGACGGGAATTATATTGTTATTCCTAATAAATATAATCCTAGGAAGAGGAAGCCTTGGAATATTAATAATAGCGGTGGTACTGCTGATGGTAATAATGGTGGTGGTGGTGGTGGTGGTGTTAACACTGGTACACCTGGCAATGGTTGTGTGGTGGTTGGAGAGGAAACGACGGGGAGGAGGTATAGAGGACAGGAGACTTATAATCGGATGATGTCTTCGTTTTATCAGACGGAGAGGAATGCCAGACGGAGGTTTCGGTTTGGAAGGTTTGAGATGGGTGGTAGTAATAAGGGTGGTGGTGATAACGATACAAAAACATCATCATCATCATCATCTCGAAGGAAATGTCAAGATCAACTTAGTCCTACTTCTAACAATAACACCAGTCTTCCCGTCTCCCCACGCACAAAGGTTCTGGAAATGAATCCGAGGGATTCTATACAACAACAACCACCGCCACCAGCATACTCACCCCCACTATCAATAACCTCACTCGATCATATCGATTATAATAATAATCAAGAAAGGGTATCAACTCTCCAGAGTGAATATCACCAATGTATTACTACTACCAATGGTAATAATAACATCAATATCGGTGGATTCGCAGAAATGGAACCGATAAGGTTACCATCGATCAATGAAACGATATTTAGGAGGACAATGAGTTATAGTCTCGAGTTACCACCGATTTTGGGATTGGGATTGGAGGTTAATTATAATGTTATGGATGCGGTGACGGCGGAGTTGTCGTATGCTAGTATGAAGGGGTTGGAGCCTGGGGAGATTCGGAGCGCTGCGGCGGGGGGGTTGGAGTTTTGAAGATATTTCATTTTAGTGTAGTTTTGGAATATATATCTGTGATTTCTGGGTTTGGGGTACTTGAGTTTAGTGTATATTATCCTTTATTTCTTTATTTCTTTATTTCTATTTGTCGGTGGTTTTTTTTATTTAGGTTCAGTTTCTATCATTTGATACCTCTATCGAGTTAGTACCTTATACTCCCGATCAATTAACTATAACTACATCAGCTCGATATCACAATCGATCGATAGATTGTAGACAACACTATCATTTGTTGTATTTTTATTAGCAATCCCCGTCAAGAGCTCATTTCCAGCTCAAACCATGCGACATTTCCACGAAAACAGCAGATGTCGAGTATAACGAGTTAGTTTTCTAGTATCAGTACATGCCAGTACACCCCCATCTAACAGATGAGATCAAACGTTATTACCACCCACGAGGATATCTCAAATCCTTCATAACCATGATACCATAACTACACCCTCTCTCACAATTGGAAAAAATAGAGAAAAAAAAACCAGTTGAAATCCTCAAAAATGCTTTTCCCCCTCCTCCTCCTTTTAACAAACACCCCCCAAACAACAGCCTACTACACCGTCTTCCTCCGCGAAATCGGTCCAGAATGGTTCATGTCCTTCAACTACTTCCTAACCGGCACAAACCTGCACCCACGCTCCCCCTCCCCAACCTCCTGTCACGAAGTCACAATCTCTCACCATCGAGATCCCATAACCGCCTTAGGAATCTACAACCCTCCCGAAGAACTTCCCATCTCCGCTTTAGCAGTATTCCCCTACAAAACGCCCCAATGCGGTAAACTTACCCCCTCAGGTGCAGCTATAAATATTAAAGGACCACCTACTTTTATAGTAGTATTAAGTCCCGAGGAGTTATACGGATTATCAGTTATTGATGTTGAAAGGCTTGGGATTGAATGGTATAGAGGTGCTATTCAACCGTTAAATCTTACGGCTGAGAGGGTCGATCCTAGGGGTTTACTTTATGGGTTACCGGATTATGGGGGAAGTGGGGTATATATATGGGAAGGAGGGGGGGAGGAAGGATCTTATCAAGTACCGGAATGGAGGACTTGGGTTCCGGGAGTTGTTGAGAAAATTGTTGAGCCGAGGAGGTTTTTGGAGGATGTGGATGTTAGACATGATAGGATGGGGTATATTTATATTAGAGATTTGATGGAGAGGTATTTGAGGCCGGATATGAGGGAGTTGAAGGATAATATTACGCCGTGGATTCAGGGGTCTGTTGATAAGAAGATGAAGAAGAAGAAGAAGAAAGAAGAGGATGGGGGGAGTGGTGGTGATGAAGATGGTGGTGATGATGAAAATGATGGTAACGGGGAGAAGACAGATGTGAGGATTAAAGGAAAAGGAAAAGGATATCCATCCCTACGTGGTCCGTTATACGGAGAAAAAGATAAGACGAGTTGGTTAATTAAAGGGAATTGGTATACAAAGGAGGATAATACTCCGCTTAGAAGATCGAATGAAGAGGCTAGAAGGCAAGGGAGGAAGAAAGCTAGACAACCCGAGACGGAGGAGAAGAAGAGAGGGTGGACATTGGCTTATAAAGGTCCTAAACCGGGGTCGATTCCTGGGATGGAATATTATGATTTGCAGGAGCCTATACGACTTGATGTGGATTCTTCGTTGGAGGATATTAATATTATTGAAGAGGAGGAAGGGGGATTGGGAGATGGAACGGTGGTAGATGGGGATGATGATAGGTATCAGACGATACTTAGTTCGGCGGATTTACCTCAACCACGACATCGGATGGAAGGTTTTCAGGACGGATCACAAATTGAGATAGAACTTGAGGAGGGTGGGGGAGATTGGGATGAAGAGGTCGACGATTATAACGCAAATAATGAATGGGAAGAAGGATATTCGAATTCACAAGAACTACAGTCAGGATCCATCTTAGAACCCGTTCCAAAGAATTACAGTCCAAATGAACAACAGCAAGACCTCAGAAACCTACTCCAAGAAAGCGACATACGACAGGCCGCCACAGAAGAATTAAAACAAGAGGAAGCAGCAGAAGAAGAAGCCGTGGCCGAAGAACTAGACACTTCCTCAAATCTCGTCAACATCCTCAATAATAATAACAACAATATTAATAATAATAACGTTAACGTCGCCGCCAACGTAATAAACGAGCAACTCCAAGCCCTCACCCGTCTTCAAAACCCAAACATCAACGACCCAGAAGTCGCATTAAGAGCCCAAGAGCTACAGATGTTAAGTCAGAGTGAAATGCTCGGTAACATCAATCCCTTTTGGTATTCTTCAACCCTTCGAGATCGGGATAGAAATAATATTAATATCAATAGAATGCCGGGTATTAATATTGAAGATCGTATGGAGGGTCGTGCTAGTACTACATCCAACCGGTGGAGAAATCCTGCAGATCGAGATATCTCTCAGACGGGGGGGCAGAGGTTGCAATTGAGCCGTTCGCTTGAGGATTACCAGGACTATGAGGATTACGAGGAACCGCAGGGAAGAAATACCCGGCCTCGGGGTAGGAATACCCCATAGAATATAGATATTATTACATAAACATGTCTCAACCGCCGTATTGAATTAGTAATATATAACACTTCACTTCCCTCGAAACCACTCTTTTTTTTTTTTTTCTTCAAAGGGTCCGAACCGGAAGCATTGTTTTATCCCGAGGAGATAATAGTAGCTACTCCGTACTAGTAGTAGTATATACTAGTATCAACGAATCGCGGGTGATGCCGGTGCCTGCCAAGAGCTGCGTGCTTGTGTCACATACCCAAAACGCCATAGACGACGGTTTTTCCCCAACCCCAACGCGCCGCGTCGTCATTGCAGCCATTCATCCAGGAGAGGTTTCGAAGGCCCAGGGTCCTTTATCTCTATCTCTGTCTCTATCTCTCTCTCCCTTCAATCCAATCCAATTCAATCCAATTCAACTTCAACTTCAATTTCAATTCATCGTCCCCCTGAATACACCTACCTAAGTACACCTACCTAAATACCAATCCTACATCTTTCAAAGATGACGGACATCTACGAAGTCATCCAAACCGCGTCGGACCAACACGTCCGAACGCTTCTCCGCCTCCTCTGCGATAGCGACTACAACATCAAATCCCGAACCGCAGAATTCCACGGCATGATCGAGAACCTCCAACCCACAGTCACCACATCATCCTCCTTACTCATCAACAACCACAACCACAACCACAACAGCCACAACAACCACAACGACTCGACATGCTGCTCCATCTCATCCGACCGAAAACGAAAACGAGATCCCCTAGAAATCTTCTACTGCGTAAATTGCAAAGAATGTTTCATGGACGAAGAAAACGACGACGAAGCCTGTTCGTACCATCCAGGAGAATTCGACCCGGATAGGGATGATTTTTTCGCAGATCATGATGATGAGGTTCATGGCAGGTTGGATGATGAGGAGATGTTCGCGACTTATCCGCAGGGGTATCATATGTCATGTTGTGGGGATAGGGGTGATACGGTGGGCTGTTATACGGGACAACATATTGGGGGGAATAGGAAATTGAAGTCTTCGGGGTCTGATGATGATGATGAAGAGGAGGAGGAGGTAGAGGAAGGGGAGGAGGAGGAGGAACAGGCTAATAGTGGTAGAAGAGAGAACGGTGAAGGGGGGACGGATGATAACAAGGAGAATAGTAATGAGAAAGATGGAGTAAACTAAGGTGTCCTTTTTTTTTTTCCTTTAATTCTTTTTTTACTTTAAATTTTTTGTTTTATTTTATATCATTTTGGGCGGGATGCAAATGGGGCTACCGACAGCTATCGATATCGGAACTCGGTTGGCTCTGAACCATGAACCCGGCTAGCACCGGTCCACCTTATATTATTACTTCCCTACTTTACCTACCTTACATCATTTTCACATTGCACATGTAGATTGATTCATTCAATTCATTCAAAAAAAGCATTTACAATCACACAAATCGACTTGTTCTTTTTTTTTTTTGTTCTCTGTCACTTTTTTCCCTTACAAATAAATGAAGGATCAAGTCGATCGAGTCGTCCTCCTGCAGCCGCTTGCTCTTGTTCTTCCCCCCCCTCCCTCTTCATCCCCTTGCATGCTGTGCCGCGCTTCAAAAAAATGATTGATCCACAGCCACAATAAAAGGATGGATTCGACTTTTGCTTGCTGCCTACAAAAACAGCCTTAGTTTATGCAACAACAAAAAAAACCCCGTCACGATAGACGCCGAAACGTCAACCCCGACCAATGGTTTGCGCTTAACACCCGTTTACTTCTTTTAACCCCCCTGGTTGGGTGGTACATCATTCGTAATGGTTACTATGAAGGATTGATATCATGTGGTGAATAAGAAAAAGCAGAAGAAGAGGGGGGGAGAATATTTATTCTAAACAGAATATGTGTGATATCACGAATCCTTGGATTTTATGGTGGTGGGCAGTGATCGAAGCCTTTCGAAGAAAAAAAAATAAAATAAAATAAAATAGATCAAGAAAAGAAGAAAAAATTAAGAAGCTTGGTCCAATAACTTAACTCGGAGAATATACCTTTCCTTCTAACTGTACTAATCCGATTCGATCAGAACTGTGTAACAAACCTGCGAAAATAACAATAGGCAGGCAGGCATGCATGAACCCGAGTGGCAGAATTGAAAAAGCCTACTTTCTGCTGGACAACAATGTAACGGTATACAATTAAGCCTAACAGGCGTTACGAATCCAAGGACTTCGCCTCTCTTTTTTCTTTTCTTTCCTTTCCTGGGGTAATATTCTGCATAAAGTCCTTATTCTTTTTTGGGGGGTTCTCGATGATGTGGCCTGCAAGGGACCGATGTAGGTGACTTACTTGACTTTTACTTTGCCATGTGAAGAATGGTGGTTTCTATCAGTATAAAGGCTTCGAGGGTAAGCTGGATATCAGGCTGTTATATTTCATAGTTACTTCATCATTCTATTTACATACCTCATACATACGAGATCATAGTCCTAGCAGCTTCGACTCATACTCATACTTGATCAAGAAGTATATATAAAAAACAACAGCCTCGATCTTATTACCTTCTTCTTCTTCTTCATTTTCTTCTTCAGCTAGGGAAAATACTCGGACTCATCTTCACCCGTCTACCCAGAAAGAAACCACTCCACCCCACAACCCACCACTCAAAGAAAAGCACCCAACCACAGTCCTATATTTCTTCAAAGTACCTCCTCCACAATCTACCCTCCACCCCCCACCATCACCACCAAAAAGACTCCCTCCTCAACCCCTTCCACCGCAAACCATGAGTCCAGCAGCAGCTCCCCCTTCCCCAAACGAAGGAGTTCCACTCTTCCAACCCGGTGCTATCGATAAATACTTCCAAAGCCACCATTCCTTCTCATATACACCAACCTCTTCAGCGTCCGTTCTCAAAACCTTCAAACGTCTTGCTACAAACCAAGGCTGGGGTGAAGACCGTAAAAAACAGGAAAAGGAGAAATTCCAAAAAGCTGTTGATGCTGAATTTACAGCTCGTGTTGGGAGTGGATTCGAATTGGTGGATTGGCAGAGGTTGGCGAAGGTTATTGGGGTTGAACCTTTGCCGTTGAGTATTACGCAGTGTAAGAAGGTATGTTTTATTCTTTATATACCCCCCCGCTTGGCTTTATGGTTATTACCTATTGAGGTTGATAGAAGACTAATTGGGTATTATTGAATTTTTAGATGATCAAGAAGGAGAATATTAATATATACCATGTACTGCATGCTTACCGTCGTGCTATCGAGGTTAAGAATGTTGAGGATGTGCAGGCTTGTAAGGATATCAGACGGTTTAAGAATGTGGCGGAGTTGAGGAAGTATACGCAGAAACATAAGATGTTTTATAGGAAGGAGTATGCGAAGGGGTCTGTTCTTAAGGGATTGTTGAAGTATCTTCGGTGGAGGGTATAAGGAGGGGGGGTTATGATGGTATGGGAATTAAGGGGAGTTTGGTTTTGGGAGATGGGAGGTGGGAGATGGGGTTTTGTATGGGTTGGTTGGTATATGTCTTGAGGAGGGGTTCTGCTTATTGTTGACTCTTTCTCTGTTTTTTTGGTTTTTCGATGTTAAGTTGGTAGTTTGCAGTAGCTTTTCGTTCTTCGTTTTCTGTTTTCTTTTTTTTTGTTTTTTTTTTTTTTTTTTTGCGGATGAAGGACCTTTGATACTTTACTCTTCCCCAGCGTCTGCTTGTTCAACTATTTCTGCGTGTATTCAGCTCTCCCGCGTTAATTCTGCCTTCTGAAATTATAATTCGTCTTCAAATTTGATTTATAACTCTAAACCTTGATTCCGTATTAAAACCTCGTCGTTTTTGTCTAGTTCACAAGTTTCACTGTCCGGTATATATATACACACAGCTGTTGAAAATATTAGGACAGTGGGAAGTATAGTATGTACATACCAGACATAGTTGTATCCACAATTACCTAGGTAGTATTCCCAAATTCGAAAAAGCCCCCCAGTTCACCCATATATATACCAGAATGGTAGAAAAGTAAATTAATTAATTAATAATAAAATTTTAAAAATTAATATATTCCACTTCATATTCCAGGATTTGACGATACTTAAATACCGAGTACATTACCAGTAGTTGGGATTTTACAACATTTTCAACACGATTGTGATGGCTTCTTATGCGATATGGGTATGTATATACCACTCGGCTTTTTTTTCTCTTTTTTTCTGAGGAAAAAAACGGCAGATAGATGGAGGGGTGATAATTTTTAGGGGATGAAAGGGAAGGAAAGGGATGCATTGAGGTAAACTAATCCGAACGTCGCCACCAGGTTGAAAAAGCGACGTATGATATTACCAGAAACTTAGTAGTTTGAAGAAAAAGCCATCAGCGGTGATATTTAGATGAGGTTCGAGGAGTCTTATCGATACGGTGAGTAATCCAAAAGTCTTCAATGGCATTTTCTCCATAGAGGTTGAGGGTTAGATTGGGTGACAAAGTCGTATGTCTAAGGGCAAATAGTTCCAATATATACTCATACCAATGGGAAGGATTGTCGGGGGGGAAGATCATCGGGCTAGTCTAGTTTATGGATTTTAAGTCTGGGTCCAAGTATGAACTTGGTAGGCTTTCTTTGACCGTTGATATCATACGGACAAACACGGGATATTGATCATAGTTTGGTAGATCTGGGTGAGCAAAGAAGGTGAGGGAATCGGTATCGACAACAGTCAACTCATCGGTTTCAGCGGGGCCCGGGGCGGTGGCTCTGGCCTAGGTTTCAGAGAACCCGAGCATGCCTGGTCAAGACATCGGAAATACTGTCTCGAACGATTTGACTTCCCGACGTGTTTACGAAAAATCGAAGTAAGATTTTTTCAAATTGGTGGCGTAAAGCCAAAGAAGTGAGATTCTGTGCGATTGGGTGTTCGGAGGCGGTTTCTATTTCAGCGTCAATTGAATTTATTCGAGCCCTATAAGACAACTGAGGTACATAGCAATTGTGCAGTCAATAAGAGTCTTTCAATAGATACATCAAGCATCATCCTCTTCCAATTCCACCTTGTACTGACAGATACTCTTATCCTCAAAAACCACATCCTCAAGATCTATATAAATCTTGTTTTTACAGCCTTGTCTATACCAATCCGGAAACTGTATTCTACATTCCAGTTCAACCTCCCCATTCTCTTTATCTTTCTTCACCAAAAAGACGTATCTGTCCTGATAGCTGCGAAAAGGGTTACGCGCATCCGTAGTCAAGAGTTCTATCGGTCCATACCCGGATGGCCTTCTAACAAACTGTACATATTCCAGGTCCTCAAGTCCGCCATTCACCCAGTCCTTTATTATCTCCATCATTCCTCGCTTTTCCTCCATGGGGATACCTTTAAATAGATCAGTTTGACTCGACGGCCAGTGAAGAAGCCTAAGTCTTTTCAACCGCTGTAGTCTCTTCAGCTGATGGTATTTTGGAAAATGCTCCTGGTTTCCATCCCTGCTGTACCCTGCCGAATCTAGAGTGAGGTATTGAACATTTGGGAACACCTTGGTGATAACATCGAAGGTCCTTGAAACGATCCATCGCTTGATCAATATCGAAAGGTTTGTCAACATGGGATATCTTACCGCCAGGGTGTCCAGGTACCCAACCCACAAATCATCCTGACAATCCCCGGTGTAGATATCCTTTACCATCATTGTCAACTTTCGTAGCGTGGGGGCTGACGAACGGAGGAGTTTCAAATGGATATTTTCGTGGGAGTCCTCGGAGTATTCGAAGAAATTTACGAAATTGGTACTTTTGAACGCCAATTCCTTCAGATTGGGAAGGTTATAGCTCTCATCCCTCAGATCCAGTTCCTCGTGGAATTCATCGGGAAGCCAAAATTTGCATCCGCTGTAAGTTTCTTGTACAACAGAGCGACTACACTCATATGGATATTCTAGGGCCTCCTGGGATTGGGGGAACAAGTCGAACTGACTGATTCTTAGAGTTCGGATGTTTCGACGATGGATTGGAGAGTTCGATAACCCTTGGACTATTTCTGACATAGCAAGGTATATGAAGATGGTCGATGAATTATCTTTATGGTCACTCGTAAATTGAATGTTGACCCCCCTGAGACCAGGGAATGAGAGAAGTAATTCGACTATTTCTTCAGAAATACGTCGTTCGCGGTTGGCAATACGCCGAAAACGCGAAATAACAGTATTTAAGTACTTGGGCGCTTCTGGTACGACGACAGTGGCGTGCCTATATCATCATCCAATTGTTTAAAACCCCCTAGTCTTTCCAAAAAAAAAAAAAGGGTATAATCAATCAATCATTCCATACCTAACAAATGGGCGAATTGAAGCCAAACTCCCAGTCTTAAACAGTTCTCGCGATACTGTGTCCAAAATGACATGAGAAAAAAGAGCCGGTGCGACGAGGTTCCGGTAGTATTTGGAACACCCGGAAAGGTTTTTCATAGAGTCGGCGCTCATGAAGGAGAATATGACATCCCATATATCCACTGGGAGAGCTGTTGCGAATGCTGACCAATTTGAGGCTTCGCCAGAGCTTAAGCTTAGGTTTGGGTTTAGCTCATCTAGTTTGTATTCTAGAGACCCTAGCAAGGGGTTTGTATAAGAAGAACCCATTTTATTCGGTCGAGGGTGATTGATGTTGGTATCATATATTATATTATATTGTGAAATCGAGCATAGCTTAGATGCTGGACCAGTACTGGATATCGATATCGGAAGGCTGCGCGAATTTAGGATCGCGTATATCCAAGGCCAAGTTGTGATCTCAGTCCACCGTTTTAACATGCTTACATGCGGCCGTAAAGACACAACCACTATGACCCAAGAGTGTTATATGCCAGCGTACAATAGCTTCTCCGGATTCATTAATTCGACCGAGATCGAGAGGGGTTCGTGATGCATAAGATTCGTAGTGTGTTGAGCTCATGCCTAGGTATAAACGATGTGTTGTTCGCTAGCTCAAGGCTGTATCATTTGGTACAGCTCCGATGTCACTCCGCTGTGACCAAGGCTACTGCACGATCAAGATTAAGGAAAGATAGTATATGAAAAAATCAAGGAAATCCTTGCCCATTGCCAGAAATTTAAAAAAGAATATACATGTCCGGAAACGCTGCCATAGTAACCCTACCTGCTATGTACTTAAATAATATGTCTAAGTATGATATTTTACTGAATTAAGCATCACTGGCTCCTGGCTGGGAAGGGCGTCTAAAGAACGCCTCCCAGCTAAATGCCCCCGGCCAACTCGCTCCTCGTCCACTAGCACTTCATGTAGCTTCTTCCGTCCTCATTATTCAATAATATACAATTCTACCCTCTTTCAACCACCCTCTAAGCCTCGTTGACGAACAAACCAGCCATACCCTGTCCGCTGCCAATGCACATACTGGTCAAAAGAAGCTTCTTCCCTGTCCTTCTGCACTCCGATAGACCGGTGACAACTTGTCGGGCACCGGTGGCACCCAATGGATGTCCCAATGCGATGGCTCCACCACGGACGTTCATGATCTCGTGTGGGATCTCGAGCTTGTTGAGGCAGTAGACGGCCATGGAAGCGAAAGCCTCGTTCAACTCAACGACATCGATATCCTTGATGGTCAAGTTAAGCTTGGAGAGGAGTTTCTATAACATTCGATGTTAGTAACTTTCCTTTAACCTCGTGGTGGGAAGATCCAGGTGTTCAAGAACTTACGGGGATGGCGACAGATGGACCGATACCCATGATTCTGGGAGCAAGACCAACAACTGTGCTGTAGACATACTTGGCCAAGATTGGCTGGCCGAGCTTCTGTGCTGTCGATCGCTTCATGAGAAGGAGGGCAGCAGCACCATCGGTAACCTGGGAGCTGTTACCACCGGTCGACTTATCGCCGAACTGTGGGAAAGCTGGACGAATCTTCGATAGAGACTCGAAGGTAGTTCCGTGACGTGGACCCTCATCAGCAGTGACGGTGACGGTCTTCTTTTCGCCGGTCTTAGGATCAACGACGACAGTGGTGACTGGCAAGATCTCATCGTTGAACCAACCGGCCTTCTGGGCGACTTCGGCACGCTTGTAAGACTCAGCGGCGTATCTGTCCTGCATCTCACGGGTGATACCGAAATCATTTCCGACGTTCTCGGATGTCTGACCCATGGGCTGTTTGCAGTCCTCAGCCTCCTGGTTGGCAGAGATCTCAGCAGAAGCAGAGAATGGGTCTCTGATCTTGCTGTTCTCAGTCATGGACTCAGCACCGATCGCGATACCAATATCAATTGAGCCGCCGGCGATTTGCTGGGCTATTCAAATCGGTTAGCATACATATCCCCACAGAAGAAGAAATTACGATTGGCCGCATACCAATATCCTGAATGGCCAACAATCCAGATGAGCAAAATCTGTTAACAATATGTGCGGCCGTTGTATTTGGAAACCCAGCGGTCAATGCGGCCATTCTGATCTTGTTGGCCATGTTTGTACCAGCGACATTGCCGCAGGCGATATCCTCAACGAGCACGGGGTCGATATTGGAGTTCTTGATGACACCTTGCAAGAGCTGCAATAGCAGGTTCTCGAGCGGTGTATCCTTGAACGAACCCTTACCACCCTTCGCAAGGGCTGTACGGGTCGCATAAGTGATGACGATATCATCTGGGTTCTTGGACAGCCTGTTTTTAGTGCCGGCGTTAGATCACGGACTGCAAATGAAAGTGGCCAAAATATATAGCCTTTTTCTTTCTTCTCTCCCCTCGTCGCGAGGAAGATTCTGGACTCGATCGCCTCCGAAGAGCCCGTTCTGAGACATGTGGAGATTGACACTTACACAGCGGCACGTCCTGATGAGACGCCAGGGTTGAGGTGGTTCAATACGTTCTTAAGTCGGTCTGCCATTGTGAATAATGAGATTCTATTGGATGAACTGGGAGATGAATGTGAGAGCTGAGAGATGAGGTTGTAGTTCGGATGTCTTGAAAGGAAGATGAAGACTGTCGGCTGTGTCACAGATAAGGGTTTTATAGCAACAGTTATATACCTCTACTGCTATAACAGCTTATCTGCATTTATCCCGAGCTAATGGCCACGGCTGTCGATTTCGGGAGAGATGCGTTATGTATGTAAGAGTTATGTATGTATGTAAGATGTATTAGAAATTGAGGGTGAAAGAAAAGTCCGGGGGGAGAAGGGCGAAAAGCAAGGTGAAGGCTGTCTATCCGGGGAAGTTTGCGCGTTTGAGCCGAGGCAAGTACAATTCGAGGCCCAAAAGGGCAGGGGGGAAGCACATGTTTGGAATGCGATTTGCTGTTCGGCCGTGCCGCATTTGGCTCTATTTTGGCCTCAACCGACGCTTCACGCTTCTAACCGCGGTAAAAGGTCCTCCACACGCCAGTCTCCATATCTTTTTTTTTTGTTATAGAGAATGTATCAGCCACAGCTTAGATAATCCGATGGCTTCACAGGCTCCCTGGCTAGTTCTGCATATACATATGGGGGAGTGGAGATGTTGGAAAATGGAGTTTCTGGTATCGTTTTTGTGTTGTCTATAGATCTTGTGTATACTAATAATATATATGTATGTATCTGGATCTGGACGATACAGTATATAGTAATTACAGGGTGGTATGGTCTCGATGAGTTCTCTCAAATTCACAGGTGCGCGGGATGCTTCCTTAGTAAGCAAAAGGCCAGTGGAACCCGGTTTTGATTTACACATATCATTTTATCTTGCGCATCTCCATAGTAAATAACAACTTCTCCGTCGTCAAAACCTCCACACGGTCTTGTACCAGATGATTGCTCGTGCTGACCATGCCCCCGAACCTCGTCTCCGTCTCATCCAAATCCCATTCCAACCCCTTTGTCGTGATCACAGACGCCGCCGCAACCGGTATCAATCCACACGTCTTCCCGAATAGACCCAAGGGTGTTTCAATAATATTCTTCCCTTTCTCCAATAGGAACGTCACACTCTCGTCAGACATAAGAATCAATTTTCTCTCAGCCGTTTTATTAGACGAGGAACTCGTATTCTGACTTTCGACTTTCATTTTTATTTCTTCTTCTTGTCCTCCTTCTGCTCCCCCACTTTCTTTGATGAATTCTCCATTCAACCGATTGCTCGCTTGGAACAGCTGATCGATTGCATGAAAAGTCTGATCCATACGACCTCCCATTGCACCGTAAGCTATAATATCAAGGGGTGCATGTTCAATCCAAGATGGGGCACCTGGTTCGCCAGCCCAGGGGACACCGTATATCCCTTCTTTGGGGACCTTTACGCTCACGTTCACGTCATCGTCATCTTCCTCTTCTTCTTCGTCAGAGGCGGTGTCTCGCTTTGGGGAGTCATGAAGTTGCTCCTGCTTCAGGATCCAGTTGAGGGATTTCGTAAAATCCGTTGCGTATTGGCTGTGGTCGGGAACTATGGATACACCGAGTGCACGATAGTAGTTTCCGACTTTGGATTGGAGAGAATCCAGGTCACCAGTGATGCAGTCAGGGATCTATCAAATTTTTTAAATTAAAAAAAATGCATAGAAGAATGTATTTTGGGGACTTTTCTATTGGCTTCTTAAAGAGTTTGTAGAGATACTTCGTGGTTACAAACGGAGTTAAGGGTGATCATCCCGACTTTGTGAATCGGCAATGCCGTGGAGATGATTTCCGCTTTTTTTTTCTTTGTGAAGTTCGTGAGGAGAAGGGGTGGAGAATAATCACGTACTGGTATATCGTTGTCAATTTCGATGCCATAGATTTGATTCGCCCCACCGTCTGCACAAACTCGCAGACTTGCTGTTGATGATTATTGGAAAATTAGAATATATTCTCTCTCTCTCTCTCTCTTCCTCCCTTTCTCAATACAGTATAGCACAGCAGCATGCATGTGGAGATAAAGTGCGGAGTGATTATAAACCTTCTAAACGGGATATTAATCTGACTCTGACTTCCCAAAAAAGTGAAGGGAAGGGAACAAAAAAGTGGAATGATAGGGAGTTTTTGGTGATTCATTCATTATGCATATGCATATTGCATACACGCACATACATACCATTATTCCATAATCTCGTAAACCCTTCGATATCAGTTATTGGTTGGTTCAGGATTACCAAGGCAAATCGTGGACGAGTCTCAGCTTGGTCAGTGAGATAATCACCTGGTGCCCAGGTCGCAACTGTCTCCATCTCTTCTTTGCCACCAGTCCCCGGATACCCCCTTGGTGCCCCTTCGCTGCCCTTGATGCCCTTGAGGCCCTTGATGCCTCCCCAGGAGGTACTTGTTGATACTTCTAGTATTTGTTCCCTCTCAATGGCAGATACCGGAATACCCCGAGGCTGAGGATTATGGTATACGCAATCTTCTGCACATGCACAGGCGATGACACCACAGTACTGTGTAAGCTTCTTTTGAAGTCAATAGACTTCCCGCTACACCCCTTTCGAGTCGTATGTGCAACTTGGCGGTCGAAACCAGGGATATAATGCCGGATAGGTATCCGATATATATCCAAGATCACGAAAAAAAAAACCCTCTCCCAAACTTCGGAGGTCGCGGATGCAGGAAGATATGGCGTGTGATTGGTCGCTGACAAAGAAAAACGATGATGATATCGAATATATTAATTCTTGAAGTTTATGAACGTAGTGGAGTACCTGGGGAAAAAGTGTAACGTAACCCCTCTTGTGTAAGTGCAAGTGTGGCGGCTTCGCCCGGACATCGATCAACGTTGGATTCGACTCGATAGCTTTCGCAACCGAGTTTTTCCTCCCAAAAGTACTCGAGCCTAAACTAAGCGTCCAAGCCTGGTTATGATTCGCAATCGTCCCATGCAAAGCCCGGGCTTTGTGCAAGGACAGAACGGAATCGGCGGGAACACAACAGATGTGTTGCGGGTTCAGTCCAGCTGGTCAGCGCTGCTACGAACAGGATTTTCGAGCCAATCGGCGACACGGAAGCTTCAGAGCTAAAGGTTCCCGAAAGCTTTTCTGACTTCGAAGTTCGACTTCGATTTCGATTTCAGAAACTTCCTGAGATGGGAGGAAGGTGCTACGATATGTCACAAAGGCTGATGTAATCAGGCAGCACTTGAATTTCTAAAGCTGCGGCGGATATATGCAACTGGTTTATCATCTACATGCATATTCAAATACTTTTGAATCTTTGTTACTGGCGGATAAAATTTCGAGAACATCGAAAGCTCTGATAGGCTCGATGACCGAACAATGCAGCGGGCTAAAAACCGTTACAGCCGACTGATTATATCAGACTGCCCTCCAGAATTATGTAATCCACGCACATTCGGTAAGTGCAGGCGATACCGGACTTTGAATTTCCCGAGGAAATAGAAAAAAACCCAATACATTTGCTTTGCTCACTTTCTTTTAGCTTGGCGCCACCTGCCTGCCTGCACGCTGTGGCTGTTTTGAATACTATGTATGGGTGTGCGACCCTCAAAAAAGAGGCTTCTCGAATTTGTAACTATTTCGGGAAGGCCGAGCCTAAGGACTGATATATGAAATTCCCAGAAATTGGGAACCGATGATGGCACCGTGCATGCGACTTGCGCAACCTGCAAGATACAAAACACGTTTTTTTGTTCTTTGCCGCTTCTATATCCCCTTCCATGCTTGAATTTACCCCGGCACCCCAATCTGCAAGGGAAAGACAAAATTTTTCACCGCTTGAGCGGCTCTTATTCAAGCCACAGGAAGGAGAAGGGGCATGGAGCACCCTACCGATATGGATATTTCTCCAGACCGCTCCCCCCCCCTCCCCAGATCCTCAACCTGTCGGCCAGCAAGTAGCCCTGTTGATCCCCGGTTTCCTGTCATACCTCCCGACGCATGCATGCCATGTCAGTCGGCCCCGAAGAAGCGAAAGACATTTTTAGCATCAGCAGGGTCAGAATCTCGGCTGCGTATCTGGTGCTACACCAAAGAGCTCCCCCAGCTGGATACTTCGGAGCTGTCAGATGGGGTACCCAACCGTCCCCCGAGCTGCCCCTCCTTAAGTAACGTACATATCTATACATACAGACGTTGAAGTAGTGTAGTAAGTATATGACGTACCTCGCTCACACGAGCAGACACTCTTTTCGGATAGGCGGATATTTCCAGCTCGCTCTTTTGGTGAAGCTCTGCCACGTCCAGCTGATACTTTTGTCGCCTGCCGACTTGCTAAGCAAGGCCAAAAACCCTTGTCTACTTTCATCAAGCCCTCATCACCTGATAACCAAGCGAGAAAGGTTTGGAAAGAGGATACGTGGACGGAGTTTATGAGAAAAAGAAGGTCGGATCGGGCGGAGTCCGCTGACGTTTCGCTGTTTGTAAGGATTACAAGAACCTTAGAGGGCCGGATGAAATTCTTCGAGCTCCTGCTGAATAAGAACTGTCCTAGGTTACATCTGGGCCAATGATTGGTGGACAGCTGTCAAGGGCCGCGCCGGTTGATATGTAACGGCCGAGGTAGGTGTGCGCTGGCATCGATGTGGCGCAGTAGCCGCCGACGCTAATGCGGCCGATGCGGCAAAAAATCTTTCCCCTGGGACTCTGGGCACGGTTAGCGGCATAATTGCGGCGTCAAGGAGTTGGCGGACTGGACGGTGGTACAAAGAATCCTACACCTTAGATCAGATCCGAGGTCACAGCGGATCTCTCAGGTACAAAAATGTTAACACCTGCGGATTGAAGAGAGAGGGACCCACTCGGGGAAAGTTTACCTAATCTGCACAGACGCCATCTCTAAATCTCGGTGGGCCCTTCGGACCTTTGGAAAATTCCTGCGGAAACAGAGGGACCGGCAACTGGCGCCTAATTTTCCTGTCCTTTAGCTTATACATGTACGTATACCAATAGGTATACGCAATCCCTTCTTGCAGAATTCTCCAACTCGTAGATGCAATGCATGCGAATTGGTGTATGGTTGTCTCTTCTTGAAACCCGTCGAGACGGAGCCAACAGGTCAAAAGAAAGAAAAAAAACCCTCGCAAGTACCGATCGAATCGGCAACATCCACCGTGTGATCACGGCTCAGAAGCGTTCCGATAGCGTATACGGAATACACTCGGCTTGGTGGTCGAAAGCTGAGTAGCTCCAAGACCTGCATGGCCAAGATTTTGCGCAAAAGTTGGGCCTTTGCGCAGGGAAGGGTCCCCTCTTTCTCTTTGAAAACCTGCATTGGCGGACATTGCAAACTGCAACAACCTAATGCCAAGACACCAATATCAAGAGGGAGATCCGGAGATGTCCAAATCGATGAGATGGCTTGAGACAGATATGCAACTCCCTGACTTGAATCGTCTTTGTAAATCCGTGCCCGTTTAGTGGCTTCCAAAGTCCCTGTCGCCTAACGAATGATCGTGAAAGTTGTCGTCGAGGGTATCGATGAGGTATCCATAAAGGATCAAAACCTTAGGCATGTCTCGCCCTCCCATCGACAATGGTACATTTGCGTTGTTTTCCAGAAGCATAAAAAAAATGCATGGGCATCTGATTGAGAGTGCAGGCTGGGAGATGAGCTTTAGTGGGTCGCCACCGTGTCTTGCTTGCGTAGCTCGAAGATTGTCGAATGCATGTGGAATGGCCGGATGTTGATGTTGGAATGAGGGCCTGTCCCCCCATGTTTCTCAACTTCAATTGCTAAAGGGCGTACGCCATCATGTTACAGCAGTGCTAGGACATCGGGAGAGTCGGGTAAAAGGCTCGTGGAAACGTGAACGGCACCTAAGAGCGGCTGTCTTTGAACAGGGAGTTTTGTTTGAGGCGGGAAAAGTGGGCTCCTGACCTGCGCCTGCTAGCTAGCTAACTAGGCTTAATAGTGCAGGTGTCGAAGTTATGCCAGGGCCATGCATACCTATGTGCATCTAGAGATTTCAGGAAGATGGAGTGGAAGAGAAGAAGGAAGGGGTTAGCCCTTTGCATCTTTGAAAATTTGATACCATGCCATGCCATGCCATCAATTGATCAAGTCCAGCCGAGTCGAGCGGGTCAGCATCGATCCCACAAAACTAGTCGACTTCTCGAGACTCTATTGGAGGCGTAACGTATCACCGAGTTCCTCTGCATGCTATATTATTCCTGATAACTCTCAAGTTCGAAATCGCGCTGACTGTTCCATTTCCCTCTGTACTGGTCGAACAAGCATTATAATTGGTCGCACCAAGACCTCCTGATTCATATTCGATAATCCCCAGATACCTGGCTCTGGATCCCATCCCCTCAGCTGGGACCCGAAAATCATAACCGAGCCCGCGGCTGCTGGGACCCACCGATATCATAGTATTTCCGCCATCGCGAATCGTCGGAGAAGTTTCCGTAGAATTATCCGGGGAGGGGGTCGTGTGCTGCATGTCTTCGTCGGACATTCCAAGACTGCCTTTTCCAAGACTTTTTATCTGTTCATGGTATTTGCCTAACTAATAGGCCACTATCATGCTACCTATCACACAACGTATTACAAGTATACCTTTAGTAAATGAACTCTAGAATTAGCCTATTTGTCACTAATCTGCGAATTTCTAAGCGTTTAGGTCTCGAATATGAGCCAAGCACTTATGCGTACCATTAAGTATATGTACATATACCTTATGAAACTGGATACCGCGGTCTAGTCTCTGGGCCATGTAAGGGTGAAAGCCCTAATATCCAAGGCTTCATATTCATAAAGTCTAGCCTTTTATCCACCTGAATTCCGATGAGAACGCTGCCTAACAACTTTCATCCCGTGGTCAGTGATCTGCCCCGTTTCACACTGGGCCATGGGTCAGAAAACCCTTCAACTAAACCAGGAATACTCCCATTAATGAAGCGGCAACTAGTACCCGGGTAGCAACGATCAAGCGACCAAGCCCGCCAGAATTCCCGAGGAATAGCTAAAAAGGATAAAAGCCCGGCGAGAGGACTAACGTCTTTTCGCCCATGAGGCGGTCCAGCCGAAGAAACGGCCAGGATATGAGGAGACACTCTCTCTGCCCCGTTTCTGTAAAGAAAACCTATCAAATATATTGGTCAGTCAGAGTCCATCATACTCGGACATTTGTAACGTGGCATTGTTACTGACGGGGTTCTTTCTGGTTGCGCCTTGCCCATTAGAGGGGCGGCGTGGGGAAAATGTGATATATTCTCATATCAGATATATTAATATGATGTTGATTTCAATAAAGCTGGGAAATCGAAGGGTAATCCGG